TGTATTCTCTAATCCTTTCTAGGGCTACCATGATACATGTTAGACTATTTAACTGTGTCTTATGTGTCTCTTACATTCTGTTGTGTCTTTTCCCCTCCCTTTTCCTCTCTCTCTATCAGTTTACAAACTTTCTATTGACCTTTTTTTTTTCCTTCACCAAATCCATCTTCTCCCCTGTCTCAGTTCAGTTCAGCTCAGTCGTGTCTGACTCTTTGCAACCCCATGAATCACAGCACGCCAGGCCTCCCTGTCCATCACCAACTCCCAGAGTCCACCCAAACCCATGTCCGTTGAGTCGGTGATGCCATCCAGCCATCTCACCCTCTGTCCTCCCCTTCCCCTCCTGCCCTCAATCTTTCCCAGCATCAGGGTCTTTTCCAGTGAGTCAGCTCTTCGCATCAGGTGGCCAAAGTATTGGAGTTTCAGCTTCAGCATCAGTCCTTCCAATGAATATTCAGGACTGATTTCTTTAGGATTGACTGGTTTGATCTCCTTGCAGTCCAAGGGACTCTCAAGAGTCTTCTCCAACACCACAGTTCAAAACCATCAATTCTTCTGTGCTCAGTTTTCTTCACAGTCCAACTCTCACATCCATACATGACCACTGGAAAAACCATAGCCTTGACTAGACAGACATTTGTTGACAAAGTAATGTCTCTGCTTTTTAATATGCTGTCTAGTTTAAACCTATCCATTGAATTTTCATTTTCAGGTGTTATATATTTCAGTTCTAGAGTACTTGATTCTCTTTAGATTCCAACTCTAGGTTGAAATCTTCTTTTCCTTCATTTGTCCATTTTTTCCTCAATTTTCTTCACCATATTTATAATAATGATTTAAAGTCCTTGTCTACAAACTCCAACATATGAATTATCTGTGAGTCAAGTCCTCTTGTCTCTTTTGCTCTTTTGTTTATTGGTCATTTTTTCCTGATTCTGAAGTTCTCATAATTCTTTACTGCATGCCAGACATTTTATATATAAGAACTATTGAGATTAAGAATGATTTTATTTTCCCTCATAGAAGGCTCTCACTTTCCTCTGTTAGCCAGACATGGTGAGACGCTGATTACCTCAAAAACTGCAGTTGAGTTGGGTTGGTCTCGGTTTCAGTTTTATTGAGCCGTCTGTCTCTGTCTTTGCCCCTGCTTCCTGATATGACCACCCTCAGCTTTTGACTGAGAGCCAAGCAGGGTTCTATCTTCTTATCCTTTGAATACTCTGGAGGATTTTATAACTGCCCTTTGGAGTTTTGAGTTTGAGTCTTTATTCTCTTACATTATATAGCTCCAGACTTTGGAGGAGATTGTCAGCTATTCGTTGTAGTCTCCTCCCTCTAGTATTTACTTCTAAGCACCGCCAAACTTCAGATTTCACTGCCATTCCAGCCATACCTCATCCCCAACTGCCCATACAGCCAGTGTTAAGCAAATGTCCTTTGGAGAAAATCAGCTACATGTTTGGGGGCCCTCAGGGTTTCACCTTGTCATGCCAGCTCATGCAACTATCATGAAATCCACTTGTTTCTCTTTTCTGTGGTAAAGTTTCAAATAGGTAGAGTTTCTCTGCCTATACCAAGCCTATGCTTAATCTTATGGTCAGAATCAGCAAATGCCCCTATAGAGACGAAAGCACTTCATCTTGGAAGGACACTTCCCTCCTTGGAGTTTTATTTCAATGACGATGTTGTTGCTTCCATAGATCTCCAATGACTATAAAAATATGTTGTTGATGTGTATCCTTTTCCCCACCTAGTTGTTGTAGCAGGAGGGATGGCTCCCTAGTAGACTATTGCATCTTACTTGGAAGCTCAAGTTTCCCCTGACGTTGAATATTCTTCTACAATTTAAATGGTTACATAGCTTTCCAACAATTAGAATACATTTTGTTCCATGTTATATTTTCTAATATTTTTGGAAATTTAGGAAGTAGCTTTTCATCTTGTAGCAAATATTCTTATAACCAAATGTCTGGTTACATTTTGTTGTTGTTGATTAGTCACTAAGCCATGTCCAACTCTTTGTGACCACATGCACTGTGGCATACCAGTCTCCTCTGTCCTTCACCGTCTCCCAGAGTTTGCTCAGATTCATGTCCGTTGAGTCGGTGATGCTATCTAACCATCTCATCCTCAGTCACCCCCTTTTCATTTTGCCTTTGATCTCTCCCAGCATCAGGGTGTTTTCTAATGATTCTTCTGTTTATATCAGGTGACCAAAGTTTTGGAGTTTCAGCTTCAGCACTAGTCTTTTCAATGAATATTCAGGGTTGGCTTCCTTTAGGATTTGCTGGTTTGATCTCCTTGCTGTCCAAGGGACTCTCAAGAATCTTCTCCAACGCCACAGTTCAAAAGCATCAGTTCTTCAGCACTCAGCCCTCTTTATGGTCCAGCTCTCACATCCATACATGACTACTGGAAAAACCACAGCTTTGACTATATGGACCTTTGTTGGCAAAGTGATGTATCTGCTTTTTAATACACTGTCTAGGTTTATTATAGCTTTCCTTCCAAGGAGCAAGCATCTTTTCATTTCATGGCTGTAGGCACTGTCCACAGTGATTTTGGAGCCCAAGAAAATAAAATCTGTCACTGCTTCTACTTTTTCCCCTTTTATTTGCCACGAAGCAATGGAACTAGATGTCATGATCTTTGTTTTTTTAATGCTAAGTTTCAAACCAGGTTTTTCAGTCTCCTCTTTCACCCTCATCAAGAAAGAGACTGTTTAGTTCCTCTTTGCTTTCTGCCATTAGAGTGGCATCATCTGCATATCTGAGGCTGTTGATGTTTCTTCTGGCAATCTTGATTCCAGCATGTGAGTCATCCAGACTGGCATTTTTCATGATATACTCTGCATATAAGTTAAATAAGAAGGGTGACAATTTTTCCAATTTTGAACCAGTCAGTTGTTCCATGTCTGGTTCTAACTGTTGCTTCTTGTCTTGCATACAGGTTTCTCAGGGGACAGATTAGGTGGTCTGGTATTCATATTTAATGCTTTTTCTTAGTATAAATCCATAGATATGGAAATATTGTGTCAATAGGTATGCATTGCTTTTTATTGACATTTTACAATTTTTGATAGATATTGGAAAATTTCTACCAAGAAATAGTATATTAATTTACTTTTCAATGTGTGAGAATTCCTACTTCCTTAAGAATTTCTCTTCAATATGCATCTTATTATGAAGTGTTCTGAGCCATAGAAAATGTAAATTATTAATTTATTGGCATCTATATTTTGCTTAAAATATTTTAAATTGTATTGTTTTTGGTAACAGAAAAATAGATCTAAGCCCATTTAATTTTTTCAGTTTGGTTAGTTTGGCACATAGGAAGTACTTACCAGTATTTATTGAATGATTTAGGATTATGTTGCTTTTTGCATCTTCCTTTGAATATATTAAGAGAATTTTTCCATGGTTTTTTCTTTCAGTAAAAATGAAAAATTTATTTGTTGAAAGATATTTCATATATTGATATGAATTGGCAGAAAGTATAAATTACTGCTAGAAAGAAAGGTATTAACTCCTTTCTTCTGCTCTATCTTTTTTATTTGGACTTTCTACTTGCCTCTGAGAAAACACAAAGACCTTTGGATTCTGTATGATTCTAAAACTTATAAATCATGTCTTTCCTTGATATGACCTGCTTTGGATATCAGCAATCTGGGTTACATGGCTTTTCTATTTTAGATTTGGTAAACTCCTGTACTTGTGGAGAGAAAAGAAATTCTTAATCATCAGCAGTGATGCAGTTGAAAATGTTTTTTTCTTATTCCACATGCAAAACTGTTCAAGCCAACTAGTTAAAGTTAATACTTGTTTGGGTTTTGTTTCTTCTCAGAGATACTTTTCCCGATTAAAAAGTAAGACCCTTAAAAGGGCACATGATTCTCAGTATTCAGAAAATATGTACTTATCCTTTTCTTTTGAAGTTTACCTTACCATTTTAAAGTACAGAAAATTTCAAGTATGTATAATAGCCGAGAATATACTCTACTGTACACCATTGTGCCCACGGCCATTTTTGCAATTCCCATCTTTCATTTTCAGTTAATGATTTTAATAAAAATGCTTTTGTCTTGAAATTTTAATGTTTTCCCCTAAGTATCTCTTTATTGTATCATTAAATGTTTATTCACTAGGTATTTAGTCCTTATATTTTTCTCAATCTGGTTTTTTAAAGTAGAGATTTCATTTTTCATGTTTGTCTCAGTTTTATTAGTTACTAGGCCATTTATGTTAATTTTGTTCTTCTTCATGCTCTTAAATGAAATAATACTGAGTATTATTGCCTGTTAAATGATGTATATGAGGGGACCCTTGAATAGGACCTACGAAGTGTTACCTTGAAAATACAGTGAATGCACAAGCGTTGAAGACTTTTCAAATGTTGAAGTATTTTTAAAGGTAGATAGATTCAGGTACATCCAGAAAATGGTTCTCATTCTCTTTGAGTGAAAACTAATATGCACAAGCACCATCTCTGTTTTCCTAATTTCTTATTGCAATTGACATTCTTTATTGTGTTTCTATATCACTGTTACAAAAGTGATTGTTTCAGTATGTTATGTAGATAATATTCCTGATTGCTTTGTGTATTGTTTTTACTTTGTTTACTTACAAAACTTTTCAAAAAACCAGTTAACAAATATGCACAGGGTTCTTATCTTTAAATTTTCACTGTTTATAAATACTCACACACACACACATACATTCTCTCACATTTCTGGAAGACTGTTGAAGAGAGGATTTTTTTAAAGACTGGGGCTGCTATGGTGAGGCTGAGTTAAATGGGGGGAATGCCATGTTGCTGAGGGTGAGGGTATGCAGTTACTTAAGCATTAAATCCTAATAGCACACTAGATTCTAGGGTGAAGGCCAGTGGAATATTTTTACTTGCTCAGGCCTTGGAGTTATGCAAACAGAAGCTATTGCAAACTCAGAGTTTCATGATTGAGAAAGTAAACTTGTACATTTATGGGTTTTTTTTTTTTATAGGTTCAAAAAGGCATTTGAATCAGAGCCAACACTACAGTCAGGAATTAATTATGCGGTCCTCCTCCTGGCATCTGGGCACCAGTTTGAATCTTCCTTTGAGCTCCGAAAAGTTGGTAATTACAGCTTGATGTTTTACATGGAATCAAGAAAGTGGATCCAACTCAGTGCAAAGAAAAAGGATCTTTCATAGATAGTTCCTTTGCTTTCTGTCTCATCTGACTTCCTGAAAAAAAAAATTATATCTCCCTATTTAATGTTTCATGCTACTGTGCAGCATCTTAATATTGGGATATAATTAGGTTTTTAATTTATTTCACCTGATTCTAAAAATCCCCTAGTTGATGTTTTTTTATTCACTCCCAGTGTGTGTGTTAGTCTCTCAGTCCTGTCCAACTCTTGGCGACCACATATATTGTAGCCCACCAGGCTCTTCTATCCATGGGATTCTCCAGATAAGAATACTGGAGTGCATTGCCATTTCCTTCTCCAGGGGTTTTTCCAGACCCAGGGATCCAACCCAGATCTCCTGCACCGTAGGCAGACAGTCTTTACCTGCTAAGTCACCAGGGAAGCCCATTCCTTCTCAAACTCATGTTAGAAATAGGGGCTCTGCATTTAGCCCACAACTCCCAAATAAAGTAGTGTTCTTTGGAACATCAGGAAAGTTTCCTATTTTAGATTAATTTTGTTTTCCTGATGCTTAAGAAAAAAGAGGGAAAGAAAGACTTCTGATCCTCCCTGTTTCTGTTTTTCATGCACACCTGCCCTACAACTTCAGCGTCGTTACTGGTGGAGCCTCCCAAGGCCCTAGAGCAACAGGTCAAGCAGATGGAGTCTTGGCAGTGACTGGTCTCCTCAGAGACCATCTCTGAATTATAGCCATTGATAGAATGTGCTTTTGTCCCTTTTATCAGTGGACATCGTCTCAGATGCTGACCCTTCTTTGGAATTTTTAAATGTTAGGAAATCTTAAGTGAATAACTTTTGATTTCCTTAGTTCTTGCTTTGATAATGGTTTTAAGGTTCTAGATACTGAATACTGTGTAAGGTAGTCAAATTTTTCTCTCTCTTGAATGTCAAACTGTCTTTTTGCAGAGAACCTTTCTAACTCTCATAGGAGTTTTTACTACAGACACAGAAATATTTTTCCATGGTTTTTGTAAAGGAAAAAAAAAATGATCTTAGTGAAGCTGTGGATTCTATGTAGATGAAACTTTTCCTTTAAGATTTCTAACTGGAGAATGTCTTTAATCTTTCATAAAGAAAAAATGAGCCCTGGCTGTTTTTTTACACTACTTGGGAAGGGCTAATTAAATAACCATATGTAATATTCTGGGAAGTCTTTGAAGGCAAGTAAAGTTCGAGTATTAAATTCTTTTTAAAAGCCCAGACTAAAAGAATGATACAGTGTTTGTCGCCGCTGGATTGCAGTGGTATTCAATGCACAAAGTTTCATTTGAATTAATTTTTTTTAAGCTGGAAAATGAAATCAGAAACAATACACCGCAATGTGTACTTTCCAGAAATTATCATCATAATAAAATTCTCCATCTAAAGTTATTTTTAAAACTATACTGATCCTTATGTATTGAGCTTCCCTGGTAGCTCAGTTGGTAAAGAATCTGCCTGCAATGCAGGAGACTGGATTCAGTCCCTGGGCTGGGAAGATCCCCTGGAGAAGGAAATGGCAACCCACTCCAGTATCCCTGCCTGGAAAATACCATGGACAGAGGAGCCTGGTGGGCTGCAGACCATGGGGTCGCTGTATTAGTGATCTAAAATGACTTGTATTACTCTGTTCTTGAACTTGAGGTTGAAGCCTCCAGATCATTACAGAAATTGACATTGATTTGCATGTGCAGGTAGAGCAGTAACATAGTGGTTTGAAATGTACCTGTTCTAAACTCTGTTTTTTAAGTTAAATGTAGATTAAGATGGTCAGCACTCTTCTAAGGGAGTAGATCTTAGATGTTCTCACGACTAAAAGAAATGGAAATTATATGACATGATGGAGGTGTTAGCTAATGCTATAGTGGTGATCATTTTGCCAGATCCAAGTGTATCAAATCAACACACTGCACATCTTAAACTTATACAATGTTCTGTCAATTATGTCTTTGAAGAACCGGAGGGAAAAAAGGATGGTCAGCACTCTGAGGTTTGAGGAACTGTGATTAATAGAACTTTGTAAAGGAAACACACTTCAGCTTTTTCCAGGAAGAGCTCATTCATAATACATGTTGGACAAGTATTTGAAAGCATATGAAGTTGAATTTTTAATTTGGAAATTGCAAAACTTGCACAGACTTAAAATATGACTGGACAATGAATTTTTAGTTCCCATAAAAGCTAAATTTTAGGCTTCTAAAATACTGTGATGTATACTATAAAATGTATGTCCTTAAATAACTGAAAGGGGGCTTCCCAGGTGGCTCAGTGGTAAAGAACCTGCCTGCCAATGCAGGAGACATGGGTTCTATCCCTGGGTCATCCTCTGGAGAAGGAAATGACATCTCACTCCAGTATTCTTGCCTGGGAAATCCCATGGACAGAGGAGCCTGAAGGGCTAAAGTCCATGGGGTCACAAAATAGGCAGACACAACTTAACGACTAAACAATGACAATACTAAAAGGCAGTTAAAGCTCACTAACTTAGATTCTACTCGTAAATTATGCTAATAAATATAGGTTGACCCAAAGTTAACGTTTATATGGTAAAATAGGACTAAAGGGATTTTCAGGGAGAAACAGGTTGATTAAATAAATGAATATTTTAATGTAATAATTGCATTAATTAAAGTATTTAACTTACTAATTAACAACATATTTGAGATAATTTTAAAGATATGTAGTTTCATTTTTTAAAAATCATAACTCAGTTCTTGAGTTCTGATAGTATTCATTTTTCTTTATGAAATCTTTTCTTTAGATGTATTTTGAAATTTACTTTATTTATAAAGGGTAAACAACAATAATTAAGATGTCATAAGATGATTATTAAGCCTGAAGCTTTTCAAACATATTATCTTAAGTTTAAGAATTCTAATGTTAAGACTAGTTCTTAACTGTTGTAATCTGTTAACCAGAGACTGTTAATTCTAGTTGAGTGTTTGTTTGAGGTTATGGCTAATTGTTTCATGATGTGTGTTTTCAGTATCCCAGTTTTTGAATAATCATTGGTGTTTGTACTGTTTAGAACTAGGATTTGGAAACAACCGCATCTTTTATCTTTATCCTTTTATCAGCTTCGCAAGACTTAAAATTAATAATCAAGCTTTAGTTAAATAAAAGATGTTTCTCCTGTGTTCTGTGGAATTTTCAACCATGAGACACTTTATGAGATGATGATGTAATAAGAGAACAGTGTGATTGGAATTGAGACAAACCACTATTTGAATCTTATTTTCAGGGAGCCATGAAAATAAAGTCTGTGTTACTGAATATAAAAATCCATGACTCTAAAAGGATAATCAAGAAAAAGAAATCAAAACAAAAATAAAATCCATCACCAACCACAAAACAATTCATTTGCCGTCTATGGAGGTGACCAAATTCTCAGAAAATTTAAAATGATAGGGGATAAAGTACAGTACTTTCCCTTCCTTTTAAAGCGATACTATAGTTCATCCCTGGAGAAGGAAATGGCAACCCACTCCAGTATTCTTGCCTGGAGAATCCCATGGACAGAGGAGCCTGGTGGGCTACAGTCCATGGGGTCGCAGAGTCAGACCTGATTGAGTAGAGCATAGATCATCCAGTTGAGGAGGTAAAGCTCTTCTTAAGATATGCTACATACTAACTCTATATTCTTAAGAATGTATTCTTCTAAAGAATGCTAGCTGATAAAGTAGAAGGACTGATAAAACTGATAATGATAGTGATGCTAAAATAATAATTCTGACAAGGATCATCAATTAGAACTAACACCATTAGGTTTTTTTTTAAGTTTTCATTTGCCATATTTGCATGAAACCCAAGTTCACCCACAAATTGCTTATCAATCACAAAGGAACAATGCACCTGTACAATTCATTGTATATATCCCCTCCAGGAGTCCAGGCGTCCGTGATCCACCCAGCATGGCTTGATGGCTGGACATTTGCCAGCTGATACAGAGAATGTGAAGTAAGCAGCATCTCCCGTGAAATGTTGCTGTTGTTCAGTCGCCCAGGCATATCCGACTCTTTGCAACTCCACGGACTGCTGCACGCCAGGCTTCCCTGTCCTTCACTCTCTCCCGGAGTTTGCTCAAAGTCATGTCCATTGAATCAGTAATGCCATACAACAGTCTCATCCGCTGTCACCCCCTTCTCCTCCTGCCCTCAGTCCTGTGAAATAGTCTCACCAAAAATGTTTAACCCAAGCCTTAAGATTTAACAGTCAGTTAATAGAACCACAGTTGGATAGAGAAATAAGTCAGACAACACCAAGAAATGCTATCAGCCAGATCCAGAAGGTGAAGACATTCTACAGGACTCCCTGCCTGATCTCTTTAAAAAGTCAATGTCATGGAGATAAGTGTGGGTGGACTGATTAGGTTAAAAACATTTCAGTCGCTCAGTCGTGTCCCACTCTTTGCGACCCCATGAACTGCAGCACGCCAGGCCTCCCTGTCCATCACCAACTCCCGGAGTCCACCCATACCCATGTCCATTGAGTCGGTGATGCCATCCAACCATCTCATCCTCTGTCGTCCCCTTCTCCTCCTGCCCTCAATCTTTCCCAGCATTAGGGTCTTTTCAAATGAGTCAGCTCGTTAGAGACATTAAAAAAAAATTCAATTAGTGATCCCCGTTTGGATTCCAGTTTGAAAAAACAAAGAGAACAACAACAACAAAAAGCTATTCAGTTCAGTCGCTCAGTCGTGTCTAACTCTTTGCAATCCCATGGACTGCAGCACGCCAGGCTTCTCTGTCCATCACCAACTCCCAGAACTTGCTCAAACTCATGTCTATCGTGTCAGTGATGCCATCCAACCATCTCATCCTCTGTCATCCCCTTCTCCTGCCTTCAATCTTTCCCAGCATCAGTCTTTTCCAGTGAATCAGTTCTTTGTGTCAGGTGACCAAAGAAATTTGGGGAATGATCAGGGAATTTGAATCAGGACCAGATA